TCTCAGTAAGTTCACAGATGACACTAAATTGGGTGGGATTGTTGATCTGCTGGAGGGTAGGAAGGCTCTGCAGAGGGATCTGGACAGGCTAGATTGATGGCAGTGCTGGATTAACAGTTAGACTCAATGACCTTAAAGCTCTTTTCCAACCTAAAAGATTCAATGATTCCATCCCAGAAGGACAAGAGGTGCTGAGACATAAACTGCAACCTGCTGTTTACTCCTAGCCAGCCCTGGCAACCCTGGATGGCCAAAACATGTCCCTCATAGTAAACAAGCCCTGCAATAAGCCCTTTGCAAAACCCAGCAGCTGGGAGGTGGGAACACAGCACGTTGTGTGCCTGCTCACACATCCGCTGCCTCCCCGACAGCCAAGCTCTCCCTTCTCCCTGCTAATCCCTGGCCTGCTTTCAAACATTTGGGGGCACTTAGTAACTTAATTCTCTTCCCTCCCTCTCTGCTCTACCCACTGCCTGTTCGTGTCCTCAGCAGGGGCCTCACCTTCACCTGAACCCAGGGGAGGCTGCAAGGTGTGGAGCCTTGTTGGGAACTGCAGTGATAGAACAAGGAGTGATGGGGAGAAATTGAAAGAGGAAGTTGAGGTTAGATATTAAGTCATTTTTTGCTGTGAGGGTGGTGAGACAGGTTGCCCAGGGAGGCTGTGGCTGCCCCAACCCTGGCAGTGTTCAAAGCCAGGTTGGATGAAGCCTTGATCAACCTGCTCTGGTGGGAGGTGTCCCTGCCCAGGGCAGGGGGTTGGGGCTGGATGATCTCTAGGCTCCATTCCAACCCCTTAACATACTATGACTAAGACTAAGTGTGGGATTGGTACCCTCTAGGGTTCCTCATGCCCTTATGTTCTACCTTGGCTTCTTATCACACACTAAGAGGCTCTTCTTTTGCCTTGATCTGTAAAGATCTCTATATACATACTATGATACCATGAGTCCCTGACCCCGTTCCACAGGCAAGGCTGGGGCAGGCACAGCTCTCACACCCCGTGGCAATGAGATATCACCCTTGGGTGATGCTGCCTGTTAGGAAATGCTGAACAGCTGGGGATATGAGGTGCTGTGGAACTGCCAGTCCTCAAAAGATGCTCAAGTTACACTCCCAGGTGGGGATCTGCACCCACACCTTATCCCCTCTGCCAGCTCCCTGTGTACTTCCATCCCTCACAGTGCTGGAGTGAGCAGCAGGTTGTATCTCCAGGCCTGACTACTCAGAAAGCAAAAGCTCTCCAGGAGAGCTCCCAAGAGGCAAAGGACTAACATAACTCAGCAGCTTTTGATGCTCTGACTGGTTTTGAGGACTGCAGCTGCCCAAGTCACAAGCAGCACCTCCAGCCAGGACAGTGTTTGGTAACGACACAAAAGCTGTGTTTGTGAACTTCATCTCAGCTAAGGCCTTAAAACAATACCAATCTGTTTGGCCAAAGTGGCTGAGAGCAGCGAAGGTGGCACCAAGCCACAGTGAGCTGCACACAGCCACCTTGGGAAGTCACAGCCCCCATGGCACAGGTGGGCAGAGTCTCACCTGGGCTGTGCCGTCTTCTGTGGCAGTGGCACAAGGTACTAGGCAGCAGCAGAGCAGGCAGCCTGCTCTGTTTGCAAGAAGAATTTGGGGCTTGTCACAATGATTTCCCCTCAATGAAATAACCACTGGATGTTTTATCAGATTTACTTAACCTGAGCCAACTCTCTGCTAGTGTAAAATCCTAAGTACCCTAAAATCCAATTTAAGCAGCTGCTCCTGACTTCAATACTCCATTTTTAATGCCTGGCATGTATCTAGAAAACTATCTTTTTAATAGAAACTATTTTTAGAATAGAAACTATTAACAGGCCAAAGGATTAATTTACACAGCTTATCTTTCCCAGCCATGGAACAGGGAAGGTTTGTCAGGTTTGGCTTTAGTGGTATCATAATATTTATTCCTCCAATATTTCTCTCTTTCGATTGCAGCTGCCCCCAGAGCTGAGCAGTTTATATTTCACCAGTTTTACTAATGTTGCCTTAGTGGAAAGAAATTAGTTCTTCACCACTCAGACTTCACTGCAAACCTCAGGTTTCCTAATGTTGTAGTTCAGCTTTGCAGTCCTGATGTCAAGTGCCCAATGTCTCCTGTCCCTTCCACATCTTGCTCTGGATGCTGGAGTGGTTCTGCAATGATCTTGCTCATGTCTCAGCTTCACTACACCCAGACAGAACATCTGAAGTGTGAACAGAGCCAAACAGAGCAAATTTGGTCAGCAAAGTCCTGGGCCACAACATGAGCTATGGAAATGCAAATCATAGAATTTTAGGGGTTGGAATGGCGCTTAGAGATCATCCCATCCAGCCCCAACCCCCTGCCCTGGGCAGGGACACCTCCCACCAGAGCAGGTTGCTCAAGGCTTCCTCCAACCTGGCTGTGAAAACTGCCAGGGTTGGGGCAGCCATAGCCACCCTGGGTAACCTCTGCCAGTGTCTCCCTGATTATTAATCATTAAATGATTAATAACAGTGAAAATATAGACCTGAACAGAGGTGTGGACGTGGGATTTCTTTGTACTGGAGGCTCCTCATCCAAAGCTGATGAGAGTTTGGCTGGTCTGACCCTCAGCCTGGGGCTGGATATTACTGGGGGACACCTCTGTGCCTTTGCTACCTGCCAACCCACACTGGGACTTGCAAAATCTGAGTGACTGACAAGATTTGCAATACAGGAGGTAGAATAACACAAGAGGTATTGATTACTACAATCAACAGGTTCATTTTCACTTCCCCTGAATGCTGCTTAATAACCATGGTCAGCACAGAGCTGAAGTGCATCTCCAGCCTCAGTGTGTGTACCTACACCCAGTGTGAGCACCTACACCGACTCTGCAGCTCAGTGGCCTCTTGTCTTTCAGCCCTTGTGCAATATGAAGCAAACAGCACCTGACTGCCAGTTCCAGCTCTCCCCTGCTCCGTCACTCTGTTAATGTTTATGTGAGGAGCTGACCTGGGGCCTCACACACCACACCATGCCAGCACACCCCGAGTGGCTCACACTGACTGGACTTGGAGCACTGCTGACATCCCCCCAGGGCAGCAGGGGAGGGCTCAGACGAGTGCAGGCATCGAGGCAGACACACGGGCAGGAAGGAAGGGCTCTCAGCCACATTTCTGCTGTATTGCTGAGCGGCAAATGTGGCAAGTGGGGTTGAGTCAGTCACGGGGCTAGAGGAGGAGAAGACCCTTACAGCTGTTCCTTCTTCCCAGCACCATTTTCAAGCAGGATCCTTGTGAGAGCAAGGGAGTACTAGGAGTTTCCAGAGTCCAGCCCTACACATGCCAGATGGGGTTTTATCATGAGGGGTGTGAGAGCTCGAGGACTTTGTCCCCACACCTTGCAGCAGCAGGAGACACCAGCAGCGATCACCCCCCCATATCCTGCCTTTCCAGGGGGGAATCCTCTCCAGGCTCCCTTGGGCTGTCCCTGTCGGCACCAGTGCTTGGGGCAAGTCCTCATAGCAGCCAAGAGATCCAAGGCCACACAGGGACTGCAAAGAGGTGTCAGTAACCAGAAACCCTGCTCCACCCCCTCCCAGCCTCGAGTCTCCCCAGGACACCCCCTGTGCCTCCTGCATCGAGGGGGAGGGGGGACACACCAGCCCTGGGGGACCCAGCTCCGAGCTGGTCACCTCACTGCATCTCAAACCCAGCTCTGCAGCGACTCAGAGACCCTTTGACCCACACGCTGCCCACTGCATGGCGCAAGCAACAACACAAGCAACATCCCCGTGGTGCCCGAGCATCCCCCCGCGGGTCACCGCGGCCCTGGGAGCGCTGCCAGGTCCCGTGAGCATCGCTCCCCCCACCTTTCCCCAGAGTTTCTGAAATGATTCTGCACTGGCACATCCTCCCAGGTCGTGGGTCCAGCCTGTCGCACAGGCAGTGAGGGAGCTCTATTCGCCCTCCCCAGCTCAAATCGTTGCTTCCCTCCGGCTAGGGACTCACAGAGAGCCTGGCCCTGGCAGCAGTGAGGTTCGGACCTGCAACCCACACCTACCGCCCAGGGGACACCAGGCAGCCCCTGTCACACTGGGGAAAAACCCTTCCACAACCAACCCAAGGGACCTGCAGCCGTGCCACGGCTGGAGCTGAGCTTCCAGCATGCCGTGGAAAATAAAACCGTCCTCCCCTCCCACCTCACCGGGTCCACTGTCATCTGAAACTCGGGAGTTAAACAAACCGGCCGGTTTAAAAGCTTTTGGTTGGAGCCTGAGCAAAAGGCTGGGCTGGGGCTGCAGCATGTCACCCAGTGCCACAGTCCTGAGTCACACACTGGGGGCAAATAGTCCATGTATTTCTATTCCTCTTCTTTCAGGAGAAAGTTCTCTAGCACTCGGCAAAAAATAAGCATTGGCAGGTCGTGGGCGTTGATAACACTGTCCCACTGGAGGGCACGACCACCAGCCAGCCCCGCCGAGCCCCGCTCGAGCCATGCTCAGCCCTGCTCCTAGCCCTCCTGTGCCAGGGTTGCCATCCCCGCACTGTCCCCGAGCTGGGCAACACTGCCATCCCCACCCGAGGTGCCCTCCTGGCCGGGAAGGCTCCCACAGCCACCGGCTGGGTTATGGGAAGGGACCGGGAGGAGTCCTGCAGGGCACAGGACTTCACACAGGGGGGTCCAGCCCCAGCTCCAGCCCCTCTCCTGCCGCTCCTAGAGCAGCCACCGGCTGCTCTCAGCAAGGTCATGAGGTAGTTCAGCACTGGCCACGCTCCCCTCCAGGGAGGTGCATTCTGCACGGCCTTAAATCCCCCCCACTCCCACTGAAGAAACCCCTGGTCATGCCCCTAAGCAGGGAGGCTACCAACAGCCTGCCCACCCTGCCCTGCTGCAGCGTTTGGGGTTGTTGAGTTGGGGTTTCTCATAGCCATTAGACTTTAAGTGCTGTCTAGAAGAGGATCACTTATTATTAAAGGAAGAGCTGATTTTCCTTAGAAAGGCTCCTCTGTGTAGCCACTGTGCGTCACACAGAGCCCGCAGCACCCTGCCCGCTAGGCACAATACCTTTGCGGTGCAGAAAGTCCTCGGGGTGAGGGACGGAACCCTCTTCACACAGCAACTCACAGGTTTTATCCGATGCCAAGGGGTAGCCATTGTCCTCCTCATTGTAGCCACTCCTGCCCTTGCTGTTGGAGTAGCCGTTGGCATGCATCTTCAGGGCAGGCTTGCGGAGGCACAGGAGCTCCTGGAAGGCATGTCTGAAGTCTGGGCTGCGGCAGTAGATCAGAGGGTTGAAGCCAGAGTTGACATAGCCCAGCCAGTTCAGGAGGATATACAGATACTTGGGAATGATGTCTTCCTGGATGACATGCATGATGTTGACGATGAAGAAGGGCAGCCAGCACAGTGTGAAGGTGCCCATGATGATGCCCAAGGTCTTGAGGGCCTTGTGCTCCTTCAAGAACTTGGTGGAACGGCGATACCCACCTCCCCCTTTCTGCTCCTGCTCCTTGTTCTGGGTGTGAAACCTCCTCTCGCTCCTGTCTATCTTCTGCAACTGCTTCTTGGCCACCTGGAAGACCCTGGCATAGACGAAAACCATGACAACCAGTGGTATGTAGAAAGAGATGATGGAGGAGGCAATGGCATAGGCCTGGTTGGTGAAGAAGTCACAACATGTATCCTTCTCATAGCACTGAATGGCCTCCTCACTGTCTGCACGGTACCAGTGCATATGGATGGGCAAGAAGGAGGTGAGGGCTGAGACCACCCACACAATGAGGATGACCACACATGCCTTGCTCTTAGTCAGCAAGCTCTGGTACTTGAAAGGGGAGGTGATGGCGAAGTACCGATCCACAGCGATGACGCACAGGGTCTCGATGCTGGCCGTGACGCACAGCACATCCAACGAGGTCCAGAACTCGCACCAGAAGTTCCCAAACACCCACATCTCCATGATGATGTGGCAGGCACCAAAGGGCACCACGCCCAGCCCCATCACCAGGTCAGCACAAGCCAGCGAGATGATGAAGTAGTTGGTGACAGTCTGGAGGCGCTGGAAGCGAGAGATGGCTGTGATCACCAACACGTTGCCGAAGACGATCGCCAGCACAATCACCGACATGAGGATCGACATGCCCACCGTCCACGCGTCCCGCGACAGCGTGGGGTCAGCGGCGCTCTGGTTGGAGCTGACATTGCCTCCGGGCAGCACGGTGCCTGCCAGCTCC